TGTTGGTTTTGAATTTCGGCAGGAGCCAGCACCAACCTCCTCCAGCTTACTTCTGCTCTGACAGCCTGTCGGTGCTGACTCCTTGTGCAGAGCAGACGCTTCCGTTCAGGATATGCACTTGGTGAAGGACCTTGACAAAGGAGCACAGGAGGTTTTGCTGGGGAGGAAGATGATGTGCCCCTTGATTAGGGTGTTTGTCAGGGCTTGGGAGAACTACTCTGGAGTTCCTTGATTGACTGGAGAGCACATTGTATGGTATGAGACAAACCCTTTAGCCTCCCTAGATTGCAGTTCCCCTTGTACAGAGAGAATAATTGCAAAGCCCCATAAGGTAAGATGCTGAAAGCCTAAATACTGTAATGATTGCAAAAGCACATTAGAAAACTTCTAGTAAGCTGTTCTTTGTTATGTTCAAGAGCTCTGAATTTCAGCCTGTTTGGAAGGAATGTGATATACATTCAACTCTCAATACAACTCTCACAAAACCGGTACTAAAGTTTAAAATAAGGCACTTTCTATGCAGCCTGTAATTCTAATATTAAACTTCACCTGCTACTTTTCTCTGTTCCTCTAGGGCTATGTATTTGTGACTGGGCAAACCCTGATCTTGTTTCCAAGCATTTTAGTGACACAGTGACATCTTGTGGCACTTAGCTGTGGCTGGAGGAACATACAGCCCAAGCTCATGGAGTATGCTAATACAACCATGAAATAAGGAGGAAGAGACAGACCACGGAGAAACACACGTTGGTGCTGCCCCCGAGATGTAAAATAAGGCCAAACAACCCTCGTTTAGGCATTGTGAGTCAGGGAGAAGTGGTGCAAGTTATATTTGGACACTTGTACATGACGTTGTCATAAGCAAATGTAAGAAATAAGGTGTTGGGAAAAATATAAAATGTCTGTGCATTTGATTGGAAGCTCTACTTGAAGACTAGTTAATAGTGTTGTTGGCTGGCTGGGTAATAAGGTGGTGTTCTGCAGGATTTTTCCATTAATGCTTCATAGGAGAGAAGAGGAAGTATGCTTACTACACCTGCAGTCAGATCAGGCGAGAGGGGCTGCAATACCTTGCTGGGCAGGTGTAGAATTTTTTTTTTTTTTTTTTTTTTTTTTTTGGTCAGGTAGAAGAAATGGTCTGGAAATAGGATTTGTATTCTGCAACTCCAAGACAAAGAATTCTGAGTGCCAGCAGCTCTGGAGTGGAGTCTGTGTGGTCTTTTCTGAAATGAGGGTTAGCCACAAGGGACCTAGGGTTGCAGAAACAGCAAATAGTTAAGAAGGAATAAAATAAAAGTCTTGTCTCTTAAGATGGGAACCAGTCCTGCTCAGGATTGTAAATCCCCCCTCTGCCCCCAGCTGAATACTGTTTCCAGTTTTGGAAACCACATTTCAAGAAGGATTTGGGCCACCTAGAGAGTGTGGAGGAGTGAGAGTGACCTAAGAGGAAAGATGGAAAGATTTGGTCTGTGTCTTTGAGAGGAGAAAAGACTGCTGGGAACTGTAAATCTTCAAATGCATGCGGTGGCAATGTGCTGTTTTAAACGTAAAAGGATTTCTGGCATAGCCTTTGGCATAGGGAACAGCATAGTTAGGTGGAGAGAGCACTTTGAATTGCAGGTGGAAACCCAGCCCTCCACTTGACATTTGCTCAAGCCAACAGTTCGCAGTGTCTGCTGATTTCTGCAATTCCAGTCGAAGGCCTCTTGAATTGTCACGGTTGCTCCAGAGGTGCTGTCTAGCCCTTGGTTTCCTGTAGATGGTGCTGAGGTATTTCAGGCAAGACCAAACATGTCCCTTAGCAAGTTGGTTTGTACAAAAGCATGAATCTTTCTGTAGCTCAAGATGTCCCTTGTGTTTTGAATGAAATGCCTGTATTCTATAAGGCAGGAATCATTAGCCAGGTCATCTTGACTGTAACACTCTTGCTGCTATAGTAATGGAGTATTATTAAACTGACAGTTCTGAGGTAATCAACATCTAGTTCCTGGGACCTTTTTTGACTCTAATGGGGGAAAACCAGAATGTTTCTTTCTCATTAGTTCAGAAAATAGATTTGGGAGTCTTCATTTATCTTGTCCGCAAACTCCAGCAGTGGTGCGGAACAAAAAGCAATGGCTTCAGGACCAAGAAACTCCAGTTGCTGGTGCCTCCAGCGCTGACAAATTCACCAGTGTCACGATGGATGTCTCTTTTAAGCCAGTGTTCAATTTAGGGAATTAAGATAGCTTTCACCAAGTTTTATGTGCAACTGCCGATATTATGTTAGGTTGATACTAGCTAACTGCCTGTCTGTTTTTAGCAAACTTGCCTTAGCTTTATATTGGAATAACAGTGAAAGTATGGGGAGGTTTTGGGGGAGGATTGAATTGTTTGATTCTTCTTTGTAATACACAAAGAGCCTTTATACATTTTTAGCCTAATGGGATTTGAACTGACTGGTTGATCAGCAGCTCAGGGAAAAGTGGAGTAATTATACGAGATTTAATGAATTATTAGAATTATTATGTGGCTTTACCGTAAAATATAAGCCAACTACAGTTACTTGATCAAAGGATGGTCTGTGTCCTTTACAAGGAAATGTGAAACCATTTCAAAGCTCTAAGTAGTCACAACCTCTAGCAAAAATAAACAAACTCCAAAGCTACAAGCTCACCTCTACCAGACTAGAAAACGTATTACTAATTTCAGATATAAATAGGATAGACATAAAATGAGGTGTGTATATGTAAAAATTCATAACTGTCTTATAAAATATGAAGTGGGATTGTCTTTGTTTTGCAAATAGTTATTGGGGAAAAAAAAAAAGCCTGCAATTCTGTGGGGTATTGGCCAACTTTTGGGTTCCCCTTTCGGGGCAGTGGTTCACAATCGTTGTTCAGGGCAGAGCAGAAGAACGGAGCAAAAGAGCAGTGATATTCCCAAAAATGTTCCCCAGCTTCCTGCAGCCCTGGAGGTGGTTTCTGTATATTCAACAGCCTTCAGCTAATCTCACTTCCCGGAATTAGTCCACGATCCTGTGAGCCAGAGTAAATATTGAACAACCACAGCATCCTCTGATAAGGAGGTCCATGGCTTAACTAGTTTCTGTGTTTCTTTCTATTTCTTTTGAACTTTGCTCCTTCTAGTATCGTGAGATGTCTCGTAGGGCTTACGATGGGGAGATGTTAAACAGCTTTTTCCTATTTACTTCTCCCTGTCTCAGTTTTAGACTATGATATCCCCTCTCAGTATCCTAATCCCTCACCATGTATCGCTCAGTATTGCTCATCATGTCTTATCTAACTATAGCCTTTTTTTAAAAAAAGTGTTGAAACTAAGTTTTCATGGGATAAAATGGAATGTCTTTGAGGGTTTAATAGCCAGTTAGAGTACGGGGAATGAAGCTATTTTTGCCCAGTTACTCTTGAAGTCTGTGGGAAAAAGGAAAAGTTGCAGCAAGGGCTCTGGATAGCAGTTAACTGGTAGAACAGCGGATGAAATTCAGTGTAGACAGATGTAAAGTAATGCATGTAAGGCCAAACAACACTTACATAGCACGTAACTGCTCTGAAAAGAGCTTTTGGAATTACAGCAGATAGTTCAGTGAAAATGTCAACTCAGTTGAAAAGCCCAGGGTGCAGTAAGACTGCAAAAAATCCCCATAAAACGTGAAGAGTAGTTAGGAAAGGAGCAAAGAACAAATGAGAGCCTTCTGTAAATTCCTGGTGTACCTACTGCACCTTTGAATCTTTGTGCAATTCTAGATTTCCTATCGGAGCTACTTAAACTGTGTCCCTGAGGTTCGCGGCGTGCAATGCAGCCGATGCAGTGTTCTTACCTTCCCACAGTCCTGTGTCTTCTGGACTCTTTGCTCCACAGTTTTAGTTAGTTAAGAGGGATAAAGTAGAATTGGAGCTAGATGACTCCCTGATGTGACTTTGAAAACTTTTCTTGCTGTTCTCTTCTGTTGCTGGTATTTGCTGTTCTGTTTCTGCCCCTGAAAGAAGGTGGCTTCTGGGTCTGCTGGTCCCCAGCCAAAATGCTTGGGGCCAGCTCATGGAGATTTGTGAGGCTCACAATAAAAAGCTTTCTAAATAGATGACTTCATGGGGAATCTGTAAAAATGAAGGCAAATGTGGATCCGAACTTCACTTTCTGTGATTTGACTATATTTCATATTGCATGAATCTTTGTCTATATATTAGTGAAATTAAATTTAATTCTGGCTGGCTAAGGGCAGTTGCGTACGTTGCTGCTGAAAGATGTAGCTTATTCCTTGTCAAATTATTACAGACTGAAATTATTTTCTATCCAAGGAGGGGCAGGTGAAGGGAGAAATCATGTACATAAAGCTATAATGAAGGCTTGAAATTGTACAGTTGAATGCAAATGTAGAAGAATGAAATTAAGATCCAGATCAGAACTGAAAATCTGGTTTTCTTCTTGTCCTTAATTCTAGGCTCTTGTTGTATAGTGCACTGTAGGCAAAATTATGCTGTGGAGAGAGTAATTATGTAATTAAAGCTTCTGCCTCGGTACACTTGGACCAACGAATGAAAGGAACCAACTGTATTTTTTTTCTGTTTCGTGGATGTTAAACTATGAAAGGGAAATATCCCTGCAAGTGTTTCATGTTCTCATGTTATCTTTGCTTCTTTTTGATAACTTGTTTAAACAACCCCAGTAGCTTTCAGGGAGTCTCTTAACTTGCTTGTCCCATTCATTTATTGTCATGTTTTCTCTCGTATTTGGCCTGGTCGATAGTGTGGATAACTACTGCTTCAGGGTGCCCTTTACCTTGACGCATTTTGAGAGAATCCAGCTTTATCTGTCAGTTGGTGTATGTCTGGGGGGCTAAGCAGTGTTACTGGAGCTGCAGCATTTAACGCAAGAAAAACGGAGGTGTTTGCTGTGCTTTGCTTGTTCCTTCAAGGCTTGGAGTCTTGATCAGATGTGAGGTGATAGTGCCAGAGAGACAGTGGATTCATCCTTTCAGATCCTTTTAAAAAAAAAGGCGAACATATACAGTATCTGCTCCATTTTCAACTTGAAAAATCGCTATTTTTCAGAGGTCACTGCAAGATTGGAGGACAAACCCATGGCCTCTGCTTTTGAAAAGCATTGTCTGCAGTGAGATTTTCCCTAATGAGTCTGATCATGCACGAGGCAGGACGGGATCGTGTTTGCTCTCTCACCGCTCTGTTGTGGTTTGGTGAATAGTTATACCAGCAGCCAAAGCTTCCCAATGTTTTTGATTTAAAGCTGAATTTTCAGGTCTCTCTAAACCCTGTATACAACCAGATGAACTTGAAAAAGAGCATGTTAGTTTGTGGCCTACAATTGAATGCTAGGTATAAATGTTTAATCACCACATAAAGAGTTTCCAAGACATGTATTTGCTCCCAGCCTGTTCCTGGCGTGTTTTAAAATCTGTTTTGTGTAGAGGGGAAATTCATGGGCGTTATAGACACAAAAGTCATATTGCGAGTCTCAACACACTTGAATTCAAAATTCAGACTGGAATTTTCAGAGTGCAAACTTTGACATTTTATTTTAGGCCCCAAAAAATTCTTTTGGAACAAAGTTTAAAATCAAAGGACATATCGAGAAATTCAGCTCTCCAGTGTAGACGTGATTAGCTGTTGCTTAAGATTGATTTGCGAGTTCATATGTGTTCCCAACTGAGCATACATGAAGAGATGCAGCGGGCCTTACCTCTTCCTCCGTGCTCAGTCCCACTGCCTCTGGCAAAGCTGTTCCCAGCCGGCATTTCCAGCCCGTGGGCTGGGCAGCGCTGTGAAGGTTTGCAAGGTGCTGCCAACTTAGCTCCTTATGGTATCTTTACCCATTTTTAAGTAAATATAGTTGCCTAACTAGGTATATTTCATCTGTTGTCTAGATTTACAGACTTCTGTAAAACTACCTGAATGACGTTCATCGCTCTAATCTCCCAGCTTTCTGGGTTTTTTTTCAGTGAAAGAGGCTTATAGTTGCTTTCAGGCTGAACATGAGGGTCAGACTTTATTGTCATTCCTGAGATGTCCGTCATTTCCACTCCAGTCCTGTTGTCTAAAGTCAGCTTAAAGGCTTAGCTTAGTCCCTGTGGTTTCCTAGAATGAAGAGACCATTTAACAAGCGCGTTTGTGATTTCATGTTGCAAACAGGACCAGGTTAGTGGGAAACAAACAACTAAGCAGAACTGGAGGAGTCCATTATTGCGGAAATGTGCTGTGCGTAACAGCCCTTGCCCAGTACAGACATCTTTTCTTGGGGAGGAAGATAGAAATTGGAGGTGAAAACATCGTGTCCAATTAATCTTTGCCCTTTAGCAGCTCTGGCCTAGAGAATTTTCCAGTGCCTTGCAGTATATCTTCAAGAAACTCTTTTAACTTGAGATACTGCTGCCATGTTAAGAGCAAAGGGAGGGTAAGATCAGTGGGGTGAAGTCTTTCAAATCCCCCCAAAGCCTCGTAGGGGATGATGCTCTCTAAGTACAAGTTACAGTAGCCCTTGCGGCTAGGAATCAGCTGGTCCTCGGCCAGCACGGGGATAGACGGGCTACGTTCAGTCTTTTCTTGTCCTGATGTGATTCCTGTGCAGGGATGAATCTGGACCACTGTTTTCATTTGTTATACATGGTAAATGCTGTATGTATGTATTTTCTTCCTATTTTAGTCTCTGCACAACAGGGGTGGTCCGTTTACATATCAACAACTGGCTGGAAGTGAGTTTCTGCCTGCCTCATAAAATCCATTATGTTGCCACAAACTTTATACCCCCTGAAGCAATTGAGAGAAGCCTGAAATCTATCAGGTAAGAGCAAGCTCTGTCCTTCAGAGTGTGTCTGGTCCTTCTTCCAGTTCCAAGTGTGGTGCCGCAAATGTCTGTGCTGGCACAGCTGGGGGATGGTGTGACACAGAGCTGTAGTGGTGGAGGAGGCATGGGCTGAGATGAGACTCCCTGAAGCTGATGCGGTGCTGCCATGATGCTGCCGAATACGTGGTGGTGTGAAGCCACAGCCTTTGCGTTAGCATTAGGTGGTTGTAGTGAGGTGATGCTGCAAGAGAGGTCTGTGCTGTTTCCAGTCAGAGGAATTGTGTGTTGACCCAGAAGTAATTTTGCTTCTAGAAGAGAGCGAGCTCAGGCCCCATGATGTCTCATTTCCTGCATTCCACGTATACAGCTTTTTACCTGAAAAGTAACTAGCTCTTGCTTTCTTCTTTTCTTGTACTCCATTCTGTATTTCAGTAATGCAGATGAGCAGTTTTCAGACTAGTTCTCCAGGCTTAATTGCATGCCAGCACAGTGCAGGGTTTTTTTCTAGTCACTGGGGCATCCAGTTACCGTATAACCCTCTATCCCCCTTTTATAGGGAGCATCTTACCTTGTGACATAAAAATAAGCTTATTCTGAACCCACTTAAAGCAAAAGGATTATATTAGTTCTTTTTTACCAGTAGATTGACCCCAGGTATCACGATCTGCAAATAACTAAGCCTTCAGGAAAAGCTGAAGTTTACTGTGCAAATGTATTCTATCTTTCTGCAGGCCTTACCATGCCTTATTACTTTTAAATGATGAGAAGTCATTGCTTAATGAGCTCCCGTTGGACTGCTCTCCTGCCCTGGTGAGAGTAATTAAAACTACCTCTGCTGTGAAGAATTTGCAGCAACTGGCTCAAGATGCTGACTTGGCATTGCTGCAGGTACGGGGAACTGTCAGCCGCAGCTGAAATTCTTTTAAATCATGAGGTGTTTTCTTTCTGTGTGCCAGTGGGTTTCTGTGGTACGTGAGCATGTCAACGCTCTCGGTGTGAGCAGAGAGCACTGAGAAAGCACGAGCCTTAGAGTGTGGGGAAAGGATGGAGAAATGAAGGGCAGCGGTGCAGCGACGGTGCTTGCCAGCCACATCCGAATCACAGACTGTTGTGGGGTAGCAGGGGTGCCTGGAGGTCTCTAGTCCATGCCAGTTCTTATGTTTTTGAGTTTAAGTCCATTAAAGCAGGCTGCTCAGGAACATGTCCATTCAAATTCTGAATACCTCCAGGGATACCTCCCACAGCCTCTCTGGTCCCTGGTCCAGCATTTGACCAGCATTAGAGTGAAAAACATTCCTCACATCTAATGGGAATTACCCATCTTCCACCTTGTGTGTGTTGCCTCCTGTGCCTGTGCCCATCTCTGCTGTTCCATTAGGTAGTTAAAAGCAGATCAAATAGTACCTCTTGACTTACACCACAGTGGCCTGTCTTGGTTCTGCCATGTCCATGTGCAAACGGAGCACCCAAAACGCAAGTGAAAGCTTGCAGCTGCCGTGGCCAAATACATTGCTTCCTCAGGATCTGTGAAGATCTTTTCTACTGAAGAGCTCTGAAAGCCTGTGCAAACCTACCTATCGATTTCCCTTGGTACATTAGTGCATGGACTTTGCAGCGTCCCAGGAAGAAGCTCTAGTTCAGGCTTGGGCAAAAATTTTGAGCCAGTCTCTCCAAGCCAGCAGCTCTGTCCGAATGCCTTTCCAGTATTGACAACCAGTTTTCAAATCCGAATTGCTGAAGGTGATGTGACGAGCCCTTGGAAAGGGAAGTTTATGCCAGTGAGGTAATGAGACTCTGGCAATCACCTGAGACACGAGGTCACTGAGGATGACTGCGGTCATTGTGGCCTTTTGCTTGTCGGGCCTGATGATTGTATTAGATGATCTGGGAGAGGGGAGAGCCACTCCGTGCTTCTCAGGGTTGATTCAGACCCGGGCATGCGATCTATGCTCTGTGTGACGGGGAAAAGAACACGGGTTGCCATCTCAGATGGTCCTGATCGTAGGTCCATGTCTTCTCTTATTCAAAAGCAAAGGTCCTGGTTTGTAATAAAATTTCCAGGTCTGCTTACAGTGGTCTGTGGTGTTATTTGGTGTTATATAGCTACGGGATGAACTCTGGAAATTCCCTACTGCTTCTGTAGTTTTGTTCTCCACAAAAAAGCAAAGTTAAATGCATCTAATGATACAGGCTGGATTTTATGTCTTGTAGACGCTATTTATGTGGCTCTTCCAGAGCCATTAACAACCACTGACTTGTTTAACACATTAAAGTACTGTGTGTAACTCATTACTGAAATATCTCAGTGCATTAAAAAGGCAGTGTTGGTTTCCTTCATGTTTGTGTCATAATAGAGGCTGTTTCTTTTGTTTTATTTTTCATGTATAACACTTAATACATTTTGGGCATAAACAAAAATAGGTTTTTGGGGCATGAAAAGTAACTAAACTTGTATTGATACGGTTTGAAGAAATTCCTTTAAGGCAGGAAGTACTAAGTTGCTTAGAAATGTGAAGCGAACCTCTGGAAATTCATAACCTTGTCAAATGCTTTTTGATGTGCCACATGTTATATTAAACCGTGAATTTATTCTGAAGGCAGGGTGAAAGAATGGAACATTTTTCTTTCATTTCAGCTCAAACAAGACTTTTCTGTAATTGTACAGAACTCTTGCTGAGAGTTTGAATTTTGCTTTTCCTCCCCTAATTTTCCCCTGTTTTCTCCATGCAGGTTTTCCAGCTTGCTGCACATCTTGTCTACTGGGGAAAAGCAATTATTATTTATCCACTGTGTGAAAACAATGTCTACATGCTTTCTCCAAATGCCAGTGTCTGTCTGTAAGTAGAAGGAAAACGTGTGACTGTAGCAACAAAGTGGTGAGAAGTGCAGATACACTTTTCTTCCCTGTCTTACTGGATACAGAGCTGGATCTTTCTTCACGTATGAATTTGTTGAGACTGTACAATACCCAAACCGTTACATGTGCCTGAACTTGCAAAGCCATATAGGAGTTTGTGTGCAGTAGAGAGGAACATCAGGGCGGATCAATATGCTTCTGCAGTGATGCGGGCCTTAAAAGCAATTACCTTACCTATTTTCAGTACCCTTGCTCACTGAAAGTCCGTAGCGGAAAGGCTGTATGAACCTGAAGCTATATGGAAACATTTACAAAACAAAATACTTTATGATTAAGTTAAATAAATGAGTGTTTGACAGGACTATCTGTGTATCTGGCACACAGTGTCACCTGAAATTAATCAAAAGTAGCAAATCAGGATAGTGCTGCTATCACTGTTGTATTGTTTCATGTGATGGCATTTTATACTGCTATGCCTTCTTGCAGACAGAAGGCGATGCAGCCATTGTGAGAGCAGGCAGCGGCAATGCAAAGAAGATAGGGAGGCAGTGGTGGGTATTTTTGCTGTGCTGAAGATTGGCAACCCTTTTTGTGTTGGATTTTGAGACGTTTTTAGAATCTGCGTTGGAACTCAGTTATAGGAAAATAGTTTTAAATCAAAACTTCTGTGATAGAAGTATAAAAATAGGGCTGGAAGGGACCTTGCGGTCATTTGGGAACAACTGTGCCTGTGTCATACCTGGCAGCACTGTTCTTAAGACCTTTGTAGATGGAAATCCTAAGACAGACAGTTTTCCTAATATTTAGGAAAATGACCCTCTTTTGCTTCTGATCAGTCATATCGCGTGTCCTGTCAGCATAGGCAGGGAGAACAGTCACATCTGCAGCTGCATTTTTGCATAGTCAAAGATTGTGTGTATATCCTGCCCATCCCTGTCTTCTCTTGACTGCCCAATCCCTGTTCCTTTGATCAGAGGCTGCGCAGGTCTAGACTTTATGATTTTTATTTTTCTCCACTGGATTCCTTCCACACCTTGAATAATGTACTGGAGCTGAATGTAACACCAAGATGAAAGTGCATATGCTTCTTGCTTACTTTTGCAGGATGCAACATGCCATAAACTATCCTTACTGTTTTTCTAGATCACAGAGAACATTTCATTTGGGAATTGGCACTTCTGTAATGCTTAAATGGGTAAATACTACACTGACCAGCAATATAAAACTGATTTCTGCCTTTACCTCTTTTCTGTAGTTATTCTCCGTTAGCAGATGCGTTTTCTTGTCAGTTCCGGGGCCACAACCTGCCGTCGATGCTTTCCAAGTTCTCCCTCCCAGTGTCGCTCTCGGAGTTCAAGAATCCGCTCGCGCCGCCCGTTCAGGAGGTGAGGTGGGGCGTGTACAAGAGCTCCTCATTCTCCTGCTAATGAGAAAAAGGAACGGGGTTGCTTCTGGAGTTACCCAGTCAGGAGCCTGCTATGGCAGATTTAGGAGTTGCCAATTACTGTGTTTCCAACCATATTTGTTGTTTCATATCCACATGCCAGAAAGCTGTGGGGGTGTTCAAGGTGAAGCTGTGCAGATGCTCTGGGCTAGCAAAGCACAATCCTAAAAGAAAAATCAGAATGTTTCTTTTCCTTGAGTGATATAGTAGGGAAAACTGAAATTCCATTTGGTCTGTTGAAAACTGTCATGAATTAGTAGGGCTGAGTGCAAGTTTGTGGATTCCTCACAATCACATTTAATTTTATTATATTCCATCTGCTTTAAGTTCACAATCTGGTTTTAAAAGCCAACTGTCTATTCACTTAGCTTTTGCTATGAAACGAATTGCTCAAAGGCTGTTAGAGGAAGTAGACTCAGCATGTAGTCAACAGAAGTCCATGTGTTACAGCATTAGCATTTTAATGCTCAGATTTGGGATAATAATATATGGGTTTTGGATTTGTGAGCTGTTGTTTTTCTTACGCATAGATCATGGCTTGCGGCATTTCTGGGAACTGGTGAAATGCAAGAAGGAGCTCAATAGTGCGAGGTCTCCCGGCTGACACACTGTTATGTTCCCAGATGAAGAAGCTTGGACCTCTGAACACAGCTCATTGTGGCAAAGGAAGCATAGGCAGCTTGCTTCAGCTGATTTCTTGTAGTGTTGTTTGTTAGCCTTCATACTTTGACTTGCTGGCTATGTGAATTTAGCCACTGTTCAAATATCTGGAAGATTAACGTCAATTGCGCACACAGGCACAATTGTGAGAGAAGAATTTGTTGTAATTGCAGGTTGGCAGAGACTATGATCAGAGATAAAGATAAGTAATGATGTAGCATCTAATCCCAATAGTATGTACTGGTCAGCTGCCACCTTGGGAGGCAGGGGAAGAGCAGTTTTACCATTTTGTCAGTACTTCATTGTAGTTACAGACAAATCAGTGTCCTGGAAATTTAAACTGAATTAATAGCATGAATTTTATTCTAGCTGCAGTAGTTTCAGGAGGCATTCCTATTCTCAGTACTCCTTTTAAAATTAATTACTTGCCTTAATACTTCTCCTTCAATACTTCTGGTTGTTCTCAGACATCCTATTTTTGTTTAAAATACACAAAGACAGTCTGCCACTTACTGCTGCGAGTATGCCTTGAAACGACAGCGTGCGATCAACGTTTGCCAGAGCTGTTGGAGTGCTAGAATGGCTCTTTTCAGAGTGTGCGCCTTCTCTCTGACACTCACCTGTCTGTGGTGGCATCCTAAAGGTCAACAGCAAGGCTTGTTTTCATCATCCTTTCAGCGTGTATGGAAGGATGAAGGATGATGTGAAAAGCTACAGAAGTGCCTTCCACAGTCTGAAAAGGGGAGGTGAGAACTGTGGTTGCAGCAGACTCGGGGCCACACTGGCAAGACACCGCTTGAAGATGGAGGAGCCCACCATACCCTGGTGGGCTCTTCTGAGTCATGGCGAGCTTCTTTTTGCAAAGCTAAGCATGACAGTTCTTGGGGGAGTTTAGACTAGAGAGAGTTTTTAGATGTTTTCATATTAGTACATTTTCTTCTACTTGGTTTACCTACGTAGAACTCCTTGTATTATTGTTTTGTTAGAAAGTAGTCTTTTAAGAGAGATTAATCCAATCCCTGTCCTGAAGTGGTCAGGCTCCAACTGTAATTAACAGAGATCTAGTCGACAGAACAATTAATCTGATGAAATGTGGGTGGGTTTTTGTTCCACTGTGCAGTTATAAAAGATGCTGTACTCTGAACTGTAAATATTGTCAAATTGTATTTGCTTTGCCCTTGAAAAAAATAGTGAAGTTGGGACCTCTCACTGTAATTTTGTTCTTTGTGTATGTAGGAGGGGATCTGTTTTTTTTAACTTTGAAGATTTTCACTAGTAGTCTGTTACCTTGTGCTTTTCATCATGCTGACTGTATTGTCTCTGTATTTCCGAAGGTCATCTGTGCTAGAAGGTCAATATGGTGGGAAGGGCTGTGTTTTCTGCAGAAACTGTTATGGTCTTACGGGATCCAGCCCATTTGATTCTTGTCTTAAGCCTGGGATTGGCTCCCTCCTTTTGGCATGTGCTTCTGGATGGGCAGAGAGTACAGAAAGCATTAATAAAGTCCACAATACAAAATAGGAAAGCTGTTAATGAGCCCTTCCTCCTTTTTTTTTTTTAATACAAAGTTTTACTGCTTGATTTGAAAGAAGACACAGTTATTTTTGTTCGCTTACTGTTACATGGGTGGAATTACTCCATTCCTTTGGGTAGGTGGAAAAAAAAAAGTGACACTGGTATATGTATACTTGGTGTGCTGTAGTATTTTTTGGCTGCTCGGAGCAAGGACAAGACTGCCTTGAAAGATGGAGTGTATGTCTACATTCTGCTTTTGGTGTCTGTCAGGTAGGTAGGAAACGTCTAGTGAGTGGTGTCTGCCAGGACTGCCAGCGCTCTCAGCCGTGCCCCGTGCTAGAGACAGGAACTCTTCTTGAGCGTGTCCTCTTGACCTCTTTTCTTGCCTGGGACGATGAGCAGTATATTGCAGTTGAACTCTGTGGTTGTTGTATATCTATCAGTGGTCTTGTGCTTATAATTTGGAAAGATTTTGGTATTCGTGTAGCGATCTCCATGCTGGCTTCCCTTTCTCTGTGTCTAACCTGCCTGGCTTGGATAGCAGTTGTTGCAGCAGCGTGAGGATGAGCCTACGCCTGCAGCTCCGCCGATCTAACGATCGGGGCTGCAGAGAGGAGGCCCTGTTTTCCTTTCCACTCTCAGGTGTGTGCACACATGCCTTCCTCCTTTCCCTCTTCCCTCTGCGCTAGAGCTCTGGCTCCTCTCCAGCTTGACTCTATCCAGTTAACTTGTTTCAGCTGCACTAGTTTTCTGCCAGGTTAGCAGGTGGAATTCGCGCCGGGGGAGATCCAGCAAACTCCGGGGCTGGTGCAGAACGAGGGAGGCACTGCTGCAGCTGGGGTGTGAGTGAGGAAAGCAGAAGCTATCTTCTCCTTTTCATGGTGTGAGTTAGCTCCACTGTGCTGTGTAGTCACCCAGACTTGCAGCAATCCATTGCAGCCTGGCACTGTCCCGAATAGCAACCAGTTTAGCTCATGCTGCTGGGTGCGGCCATGGAGTGAGGAGATCCTGTGAGCTGATAAAATAGGGACACTCATCTTCCCTTTTTGTGTTTTTACTGGAAAAGAAGCAGTTTGTATCTCCTCAACCCCGACCCCAGAGAAGCTGTCCGTCCTTCTGCTGCCAGTTGGTTCTGGTCCCTGTGCTCTCCTCTCACATGCGTGGCACAGCCTTGGTGTGACCACAGAGTGGTCAGTGTGGTGCACACGCCTTCATAACCTGTGGAAGCACAGAAACACTTGATGACCTAAAACCTTTAGGTCAGCACACGTTCATTGACAGAGTATGTGTACTAAGTGCTGCAATGGGTGCACGGGAATGCTTTAACCTGCTTTTCAGTGCAAGGCTGGCTTTGTACAATACCAAAGTTTCTTCACCCAGCTACTCTGTGCTAAATTTCTTTGCAAACCAAGAGAAAGGGATAATGCTTTTTGGCCTCCTCTCATCTGTGCATTATGGTCTCAGCTAGTTCATCTTTTCAGAAGAAGCTATAACATCTCTCTACCCTGCCTTGAGGAACAAATGTGGACTAGCAGGCGGGATCTTTCCACCGTAAGGTAGAAGGAGTGTACCTAGGTGACTTAGACATCCCATTTCCTCCTTGCAGCCTCTTCACTACAGTAGCTCTTTATCATAATGCACATTGTTATTATTATTGTAGTTATCTAGTTCTCCCTTGACAGGGCCAGGATAACTGCGGAAAAAAACAGATGGGAAAGTATGACAGCTGCCACTGAAGAAAATACGTTTAATTTTTCACTTTTGTTTTAATAAGTCTGACCACCCTTTTGGGAGTAAGGCACTGGTAGATGAGGCCTCTGCCTTATGCATCTGGAAAACGTGCTGTGCTTTGTGTAACAAGCTCGGTGGAAAGTGAGCGAGTATGTCAGGGGATGGGAGTGGGAGGAGAGCTGCATGCAAATACTGAATAGGCAATTGTGTCTTCTGAGAGACACGCTGCAAATGGGAATGTTCTGCTGGGCATCTGGAAGGCATCAACAGCCATGGGAGCTTTTGTTGGCCGAGGTACGGATGTAGTATTAAGGTGCATTTATATTCACTTGGACTAGGTATAAAACCAGGGGGTATTAGCGTGGCAAGTTAAAATAAATATGTCTTCCTAGACCTAAATGGAGGGAATGGTTAATCTGAGAATTCAGAGCAGTTACCTAATGATTAAAATGGCAATATTAAACAATAAGTGTTTTGTCCTACATTAATAGGGGGTCTTCAGAGTCTGTTTTCTGTAAAATAGGGAAAGGTTTTAATAGGTGATCTGTTTTTCATAGAACAGCGTGGTTTGAATGATAAAGAAAGGAAATATATTTCAGCAAACATCCATTTACCCCTGCGACTTTGAGGGTCCTACTGAGCCAAGGCAGCCCTTAGTTCTCAAGTCAGACCTTGAAGAGTGCACGTGTCAAATAACTGGATAATCCAGACTGGAGAAAGGGGGCTCATATACTTCGGTAGGCAAAACAAACTGTGTTTTAACTAAGAGTGTATCCTCCTGTAGTGAGAAACAAGCTAGGGTTGAGTGCTTCTGCGTTGCTGTTTTCCCTTCCCTTTCCTGAACCTGTTGCTGGTCCCAGTTATCTTGGTGTTTTCCTTAGTTTTTTAGGCCTGGGAAAGAAAACAGCCTTAAAGAATTCTTGCAGGAAATGCGTTGTATTTAACACGTTACTCAAGAGGGAAGAGAATAGTGAATGCTGGATCTTGTCCCTCCAAGACTTGGGGCTGAGCTTTCCTCTGACTGTCCCAAACTGCCCAGATGGGCTGACGTATAGTGCCTGTGTTTCAGAAGCCAATACATCTTCTCTGCTTTTGTCAGTAAGCACAAAGCGATGTATTGTTACCAACGCCTTCTGTGCCGCCTTGCACGCTCTAACTTCGGCTGGGGCTTGCTGCGCCACGAGGTTGGGAGAAGAAGGGGATGGCTGCGAGCTGATCCGTGCCAGCAGGAGTGGTCCAGATGCTGCGGCAGACAGGACCCCCTCACAGCAGACTGGAAAGAGGCAGCATGGGGAGACAGGAAGGATGAAAGGAATATGGATGAAATTTAGAGTTGATTGTTAGTTAAATTAAGCAATGAAAAATGTTTTGGTTTATATTTCCGTCACGGTCCTGGCGTTTCAGCCAAAAAAGGCTGGCTGTGGATTCCTGCCATGCCAGATGATGAGTGAGTGAGTGGAGGCAGTCCTGGGACTGAAGTATGCCCTTGCCTGGGAAGCTACTCCCAGCCCTTTTGGCTTCAGCAAGGAGCCCAGCTAATCAGTAGACTGAGATGAAGCACGAAGATAACCCTGTATCTCTGAGGGAGGAAGAGCATTTCTGACAGCCAGCACAGCACAGATGGTGCAGGGAAGCCTCCTCTCCCGCAGACCTGACTGTACGCTCCATCAGAGCTCAAGAGGAGCAGATGGAGAATGGATGTAAACTCAGTGTTTGTGTCCAGAAGGACAAGCAGCAGAAGGTACTAGCAAAGCCTCTGCTAGACCTTAACAGCAAAAAGACTTGCTGCTTTTGGTAAGAAATAGGTTTAAACCAGGAAAAGTGGAAATGGTGTGAGGCACATTTGCAGTGATGGCACAAAGCACACCATTTTGGGCATGGTGCCAGTTGCAGGACACTGCATCGCTTGGGCTTTTTTCTAGGACTAGATGTTAAGAGGTACCAAATTCCCACTGAAGTCTAGCTTATTATAGATAACTGTCAATGATCATAATTCTCTTTTATCTAGGGATGGTCGTTCAGTCTCACTTCAGTATGCTCTCAAGCTAGTCACAGCAGATCTCCAGCTCTCCGACTTAGGGCACAAAGGCATTTGGCAGTCGTCGGTTGCACGACGTTACGGTTGTAAAGCTGTAACACCGCTTTTGCCAGGCTTCCTGTTCCACTGAGCCACAGCTGCTGGCTCAGGGGGTGGCTTTCTAGATACTTATACAAGAGTGTAGAGGTGAAGGTGCGTATGGAGAATTAGTGTGTTGGATAAGACTTTCCACGCACATGGAGCTGTAAGGAAAGCAACCGGCTATTTTTGTAATTATGTTAAACCACCAAAGTGACCAGTGGAGGCTGGTGTAGCTCAGGCCCGACCTGACAGATTCTGCAGGTCTGGTAGAGCTTGTCTTTACTGTCTCCTTGAATTGCCTCGGATTTTTCTAGGGTTATTTTGTGCTGTGAAACGTGTAGACCTCTTTCATTTGATGTGAAACTAGCTAATCAGGCATCGCTGTATGCCAGCAGGTTGGAAATTTAAGTGAAATACATGAGACTTCTTTCTGCGCAGGCCTGCATCTAATCTAATCTAAGCAATGTAATCACTGGAGTAAGCTTCCTCTTCTCTTCCAGGCTGATTTCAGATGTTAGCAAAACACTATGCATTTGGTATCTTTTGCCAACCTTCCTCTTCTGTAGATTTTTCTATTAAAGATGGAAAATGAATTATGGCTTTTCCAAAAAAGATATGTTTGAAGGCAATCCCAGATAATATGTTTTAAGATTAAAATCCATTTGGCCCCCAAAAGTGGTAATCCCTGAAAAGACAGGGTGTGGGTCTGTCTGCAAACAGAAGACGTTTCTTTTGTGATTTGATAGCAGAAGAGGAACTGCAAATTATAAGATTTACGGAAAAAGGAAAATTATGTGGGCTGATGAACTTCAGTTTGGGGCTTTTATTGAGATTTGGCCCGTTATCCTGATGATTAATACAGCAGAGCTAGCTTCCTTCTCAGAGTCTGAGCTCATTCTGCATGTGTTTCTCTCACCAAAACAGTGTTGGTTGCTATGAAATCCCCAAACAGCTTTTGTCAGTGAATCAGGGTTTTCAGAGCTGTTCGCTACGGGAAGGGTTGCCTGCAGTGATATGAAAAGGCTTTTTGTGCAGAAATTCAGACACGATGGTGCATTTTGAACGCTCCTCCAAAACTCCTGAAAATAGGCTATGCCAAGAGCCTACAAAAGCTTGTCCCTCGTTCTGCCCACTGCTTTCAGCATCGCGCGTGGGACGCTGGAGGTCTTCAGCTGCTGTAACACAAAGGTGTTTTGCCCGTTTTTTAATACGAGTGTCGTCTCTTGGTGCTTTTGAAACACTTGCCTGTCTGCGCCCTGAAAACCTAGGTGCCTTTAGGAGCTCGGCCTGCCCTGGTATTGCGGAGGGATGGCGAGCGAACGAGGAATATTAACGCTTTGCATTGAGAGGGGACTCCCTGGCAGCGGCAGGGTGCTGTCCCTTGCCAAGGATTCTGCTGCTGTTAGCGCTATTTCTGCATCGCTGGGTCCTGGCAGGGCTCTGATCTCCTGAGCCTCTCCCGTGGCTTTGCAGCAATTTCCCATCCGACGGCAAATGGCTCCTACTTCTGGGTACCTGTCTTGGTTGCTTCAGCTCTGCCCCTCTCCCTGGCTTTCTAGGGGAACCTGAATTTTAATCTGACTACTCTGGGATTAACCCTTTGGTGATTTTAGTGATTTTAGTGGGTCTTGTTTAGAAACCAGCAAACTGATCTCGGGGCTCACGCTGCTGGGCATCACAGCCCTGCACCTGGTTGACTCCTTTTCCATGCCTGGCCTCTCAGAAGGAAGACTATCCCATTTTTTTAGCACCTACTAAACTTGTTTTGTTAAAAGAGGACTGAACAGCTCTGGGTGGGGTTGTATGGCTAACGCCTTTTGTGGTGAGGGCATCAGCTGCTCTGCTAGAACACAGCAGGTGCTGGGGCCAGGGCAAGGAGGCAGGCTGGTTCGTTTGAGGACACTGGCTGTGCTGGCCGGCGTTGCATAAAGACATATTGATCGTTAAAGGTTTGATTACAGCCTAAGCATCCACAAATGCTTTGGGTGTGATGAACATGTGTGCCTGGTCACCTTTTTATGACTGGAGAAGAGATAAACCTGTTGTGTGGGGTGGCAAACTCTTCTCTTTGTGACTTCTTAGTCACAAAACCTAACCTTTGTGCACTGTTTTCCTCCTGTATTTTATTTCGCAGGTGTTTAATACCTCATTTCTCACTTTGCAGACTCAGCTCATACAAATGGTGATATGGATGCTCCAACACCGGCTTCTTATTCAGCTTCACACTTACGTCTGTCTGATGGTGCCACCAAATGAGGAGGATTTCCGAGCCCAAGATGAAGACATGCCCTTTACTGCCAGAGTTGGAGGCCGAAGTTTAAGCACCCCCAATGCTCTCAGCTTTGGTTCTCCAAGTACGAGCACACTTTTCTCTGCTGTTCAGATTACAGCCCACTTCTAGAGCTTCCCTTAGAGATGCCTGGGGTAATCAGGCCTTGGTAACAGGACAATTTGTCTGTGCTGGAGTGCTTGCTAGTTAGGTCCAGCCCTTCTTAAATTTAGAGTTGGGTGTTGGTGAAACTTTTAAGGGCTATTAGACCGTAAATTCTTGTTTTTAAAAACAAGCAGTGCTTTGTAATTTGCCAAGTTCTTATTTGGTCATGTAAAAAATTTTTTATCAGAGGTACTTCTATTTTTTTCAAAGTAACTTCCTTGCTATACTCAGGAGTAACAGCCGTGACCTCTGGCTGCACCGCTGTTAGTGCATGAGCTTTGGTTTGCAGGAGAGGAGGAAAATGGCGAGAATTTGTTTCAAAGAGCATTGGTTTCTGTGGGTTGTAGAGCCCCCTAAGGAGATGCAGAGCTAGCTGTCATTCTCACAAATGGTGGATTTCTGTTTATGTCTCCGAATTTCTTTAATCTCCTCAGTGCCATTCTTCAGGGTGATTCCAGGAAAGTATTTTTTTCAAGAGTATAAATCAGTTACAATTCTGAAATCCCCCGACTTTCCTGCCTGTGCTGTTATGAGCAGCATTCTCAGAAGGCCACTGAGGTTGGATATCGGGAGAGGTTCTCTGTACAATCTTCAGCTTTACAGAAGTCGTGAATTAGGGCAGAAATCTTGGAATGTGAGTCAGATAAGTCTGCGATCTGCTTATTCTGGCTCACTCACAAGAGGATATTGCTTCTTGGCGTTTCTTTCTGCTTGCTCCCACCTTCTGTGCTGTTAGGCTTTTCATGTTACCACTTTACAGTATTCCAGCAGAGCTGGCTGGGAATTTTCTTTTCAGATGTTTTTTATGGACTGTTTATGGTCTCCAGAAGTACAATTTTCCACATAAAATGATGACTTTGTTGAAACATTTGACTTCCCCATTGAGAAAATCACTGTGTTGTCATATGACTAATTGCAGATACATGTAGCATTTCGAGAGCCACTTTCTTTGCTCTACAAATCTGAAGGGATTATTTGGAAAGACTGCATGGAAACAGCCTGAATTGATAATCTTTGCATCATTATGCTGAGGAACATAAAAATTCTGTGTTTCTTTCTCTCTTCCCCTGATAGCTAGTAGTGATGACATGACTCTGACGAGCCCTAGCATGGATAATTCCAGTGCTGAGTTGATACCTGGTGGGGACTCACCCCTAAATAAAAGGATGACGGAGAATCTCCTAGCCAGCTTGTTGGAGCATGAACGGGAAGCTATCCTTAATGTCCCTGCTGCCCAAAATCCAGAAGATCTTCGCATGTTTGCAAGGTAGGAAATGAGGAGTGCAGAATGTAGTCTTTTCTTTTTCTTATCCTTGCTGTTTTATTGAAGGATTGGTGTGGTCTCTGAGCAAATTCTGTTAGCTTGGGATTTGGAGGATAAATTCTTTTGGGTTTGTCCCCCTTAGACCTATTTCATCTGTGTACATCAGAGTTTGACAAAAACTAATATACGTGTTACAGTAACACTTGTTAACAAAGAGTCCTGGATGTGTGAAGGAGCATCAGGGCGTATGGTTGGACAACATGGACTTCACTGCTTGCCTGCCAGTTTTCCTGCGTCCACACATGGTAGACATAAAACTGCATAGCCTGCAAAAAACCTTCTAAGCATGCAAAGCAAAGACCCGGTCATGCTGATGCTGTCATTTTGTGTCCGTTGATCTTTCCAAGCCAGCTATCCTTTGTTGTAAGGATTGTAAACCCCATGCAAATACGAAACAGAGAAAAAGAGCATCGGACACAAAGCCAGCCTGAATACTTTTGCAGACCAGTCTACAAAGGTTTCAAGGTCTGTTTTGCAGAGAGGAGCTGCTAATTTGGTTAGGTTAGTTAAGTTAAAGTCATTAGGACGTGTGATTAGTAGCACCCAGTTTTGTTGTTACAAATTTCAATGCAACAAAAATACGCAAGATGTGGTTCTGCACATGGTAAAAAGCAGAATGGCTTCCTAACCAGCCATCTGGGAAAAAGGTGTCAGGGAAAAGACTTTTTCTTCCTAAGCATTTCAAAACACAGTGGCATCAGTGGAATGCAACTTTCACTGGTTTTCATAATTATGGAGCAGAAAACGACCTGAGGCAAGTATTGCAGCTTTTCCTATACTTCCCAGATTCAGTTGGTTATCCCCTGAAAACCTGGTTCCTGCCCTAGGATGGAAACAGTCAAGTAGCCTAGAGAAACTGCAATAGCAAGAAAATCCTTTCCTTGTCTGCGGCAAAGTTTGCAGCTATGCTGTGCTCAGGTATTTTCATAGAGCTCTCCCAAGCTTGTGGGTAGTTACTGCTCTCTGAATTACTCATCTCCTTCTCGATCTTCTGTAAACTGTTCAGAGGATATTCTCTGATTGAGAGGCAATTTGAGAACTTTGAAATGCTTTTTCCGTATTACCAGATAAGTCGTTACAAAGCCAGTGAGAAAGGAAAGTAAAAACAAAATCGCAGTCAGTGATACCTTAAGACAGAATTTGTGGGGGATGCTTTGGACCAGTTTAGTGGCAATGCAGATTTTTAGGAGAGGAAAGGATTTCATGATTGCTCCCCTATCACTTCCCTCACCTGGGTAAAACAGCCATTTGAAAGGTTTGGAATCGCACATGCAAAAACTTACTTTGATTCCTTCATAAAATCAGCTGCCATAATCAGGCAGCTGTCTTAATGATGTTTATTTAGCAGTTTGCTCATGCATCAGGTTCTCCTGCAGATCCCCAGGATGGCTTTGCCAGGCCTGAATTTCCGTTCTACTCTAGACTGAACTGACGACTGCATAGCTTACCCTTAAGTCAGCAGGGAGGAAGAGAGAAGATAGGATAAACAAATGGGTAGGATGCTGGAGTGTACAGAAATGTTTATGCAAGACGCTCTTGGTTACTGGTGGCCTTATGAGACATCATAACTTGGAGGTTGTGGGTGTATTTGCTCTCTTTGTGCCGTAACCCATGAGAGATGAGCGCCTGGGTAAACGTGTTGCTCTTTATGAAAGTGTAAACAATTGTGGAGAAGCCGCTGCAGTGAATGAGGTGATCTCCCCCATTACCCTCATACAGGTTACTGCATCAGCTCTTCTGCTTCATTTTGAGGAATAGCAGCCTAATGAGGGCTATGCTACAGCCAATAGCTTTGCTGTATCAGCTGCCTCCCAGTATTCTCACGGTTAGTGTGCTAAATATACTGCAACTGCCCTTCCAGGCGTGGTTCTGTGTGCGCACAAGGGGATGGGCTATTTTCAGCACAGCAATAAAGTTCAGCCCGATACATTTTCTTGCCTCTATGCCTCTGAACGCCTGTTACTCATTAAACAGACGGCAGAAGGAGCTTGTGCCTGTCCATTGCTATGCACAGCTGGTATTTGCAAGGCAGAAACTTTAAGGGGAAATAAGGAATATTGAAGCTTGGCTCCAGCACTGGCAGCATTAACTCTCGTAACATTGAATGGGGATTGAAATCCAAGTTCTTTCCTTAGGTGCTGCTGGAGGAGGGATGGCATGTCCTTCCAGAAGTAAACTTAAGAAGGAGACAAGTTCTTTTTGAGCTAGACCTTCAGTAATGTACACAAAGTGTTCCTCACTGCACGTTAAGCGGTGCTTTTAAAGACAGTTTGAGGCTTCACTGATGGCTTCTCTCCCAACCCATGGGTGTGGAGTTACTTTCAGGTTTTTTTTCCCTTGCTCTTAGATTGGGAGATGGAGATCCTTTACTCTACAGAGGAATGCTCGGTGGTGGCACTAAGCTGTGGACAGTTCTGATCCATTTTCAAGCATTGCTGGTGGAAGGGATATCTCCTTGGGCCAGAAATAAGCTATTTTTATTTGAATGACTAGTCTGAGATACAGTCCTTTTTTTTTTCTTTTTTAGTGTGTAAGAACACTCAGAGGGGCAGCTCTTATAACCTGAAGAGGGGAGAACAGTGATGAGCAATGGAATGCAATAATCTTCCATCACTGCATCTGGATCTGGAAGTGCACATCTGTCAACAGACATACCTGTGCAGCTTCAGAGGGGCTCAAATGCAGTGTTGCTGCCCCAAGAAGTGCCATTGTATGTCCCGTGTGGGTCCTGTAAATGTTCACCGCTCAAAAAGGCGAAGGTAGTGCCAATCTTCACTGGAGCTGTGAGCCCCAAGTTACAGCTCTGTAGATTCTAGTTGGACTTCGGGACAACTTCCTCTCCGGGAGGGTGGTGCAGCCCAGCAGCGGTTACCCAGGCATGTGGAGGGATCTCCATCCTTGAAGGGTTTCAGAGCTTGGCTAGAAAAAGCTACAGCGTTGGCAATAGTCCTGCTGGAGCAGGATGCTGGACTAGACTTCGGAGGTGTCTTCCAGACGGCATTTTTGTGATATGCTTTAATATCCTCTCTAGCTTTTATTGGAGTGGAAAGTATTTAATCTTGACCGGTTACAAATCCAGACTCTTTTTGAATATAGGATGGATTTATTTCTTGGAGAACTCCTGCTTACTCTGTGTTGCTGTTGAAAGCTAGGTCGAAATCATTTGCACAGAAGACAGCTGTGCCAGGAGATGAGCGCATGGGCAACCACAGTGAGCAGCTCTATAGAAGGGAGAGAATACGTAGCTTTTAAAGTCTTCTTCAAAATCACTCTTTCAACAGTGATGCAAGTTTCAAGATATAAAAATTACTGTTAATACCTCAGGGAATGAACGGTCTGGTTTTGACAAACGCAGACACAAACCCACGCTGTCCCTGCTAATGGCCATTTCTCAGTGCACACTGGTTGCCAGCGGCCCAGGGAAGGAAGCCAATTAGCCTGATTTAAACACCCGGTGGGACATACTGCAACAGGGAAATGCACAGCCCAGATAGCAGAAAGGTAAATACAACGGGAGCTTGTCCGTCTGGTGTGTGTTTGTACTGCAGTACAGAGACGTAGCAGTTATGTTCTACATAATGGTGCCAACAGGAGAGCTGGCAGATGAACACCAAAGCAGAAGGGAGACCGCAGTGTGGTGGGGGCTGCCGGCCAGGGTGAGGCAGTGAGGTTCCCGGTTCTGAGCTTACATACAGCCATTTGGGGAACGAGAGGGTGGTGAGAGGAGGGACGGGGCGGATTGGGGAGCAGGGAAACACAAATGGCAGTGGACAGAGGTGAAACCTACTCTGTGCAGTGTAGAGGGAAGGTGTGACGGAGGGAGACTCCTTGTAGAGAAGGGCAACGGGTGACAGGAGTGCCTGGCCTGAGCAGTGGGAGACAGCCAGGCACACATCAGTCCTTCAGGGAGAGTGTGAGAGGCCTCATCCTGCCGTCCTGTGAAAACAGGCAGGAATGCTCTAATGGATATTTGGTGTCTTTCAAGGGCTGTTCCTGTGTGAGGGCTGTATGAATGAACTGGAAACCAGATCTTGTCATCTCCACTCATTTTTACTGTCAGTTGGCATGAAGCGGCAAGGCAGCATATTCCTAAGCCGCAGATGGATATGGAAACACGAGCAAAAGCTGCTGAGACGCAGAGCAGAGCGTGATGTGTAACACGTGCGGACGCACTTCTGTCTGCATAGCTGGGGAAGTGATTCTGGCAGATGCGTTTGGGCCTTGATGGGTAGTATTTGAGTGACATGCGCAGTATGGTTCCTACGTTTGGGAGGTTGTTAAGACAATTAAGAGACTGAGCGGCAAACTCTAGCTTCATCTGGAGACTGTTAGGGCTCTGAAGGGTCTCTGGGGAACAAGTCCTTGGCAATCGGGGACTTGCTGCAGTGGTTCGTCTTACACCCAGCCGTGATAGACTCTGCAGGGCCAAGGTTATCTGATGTCTGTAGCCCGTTGGTGGCCGGCAACGGGGTATCTGTGCTGTCTCTATTTAAAGAGAACTGGGAATTTAAGAAGCCAGTGTGCTTTTAGCTTAGACTTCAGCATTTTGGGGCTCTTTGAGGGTTTTATAGCTCTCAGAGCTCCTCTGTGGTGCCTGCCACCAAAATTTCCCTCTCCATCTGTTGTAACTGCTCCGCCTGCCCCAAGCTGACCAAACCTCAAGAGCATGACCTGTAGTTACCAAGCTCCTTGGGCTGCTGCGAGGGGAAAATACGCTCTTAATTCTAGAAGCAAGTGTAGGTACCCAGGTCTCTGATGCCGAGCTGTGGCAAAGGGCAGTGTAGACCCAGGTGGGGGAGAGCAGCCACTTCCTGACTTCTCAAGGCTTGTTGTCACTCGTGGTTCCTCATTTTCTGGAGTTAAAAACTATGTTGAAAATCGACAATCTCAGGAAATGCCCCAGGCTAGGAAACCTTTTGATACAGGGAGGACCTTTGCCAAGCCCCAAGGCAGGGAAGTCCCTGTTTTTCCAGGGGATTTGTGTGCTAGGCACACCTAAGGTAAGAGCCAATTTAATTCACTTCACTTTTCCTGTAAATGAGGGACACAACCCAAACACCTTCCGATTTGCGTCTCATGGGAGAGGAAACCTTGAGGGTGGCAGTATCACTTCTTGGTGTGTGCACTTGCTTTTGGCCCATGTGTGTCTTCTGCTCTCCTTCCCTGCAGGCTGCTGCACTACTTCCGAGGCCGACACCATTTGGAGGAGATCATGTACAATGAGAACATGCGTCGTTCCCAGCTGCTGATGCTGTTTGACAAATTCCGCAGCGTGCTGGTGGTGACCAGCCATGAGGACCCTGTGATTTCAGTTTTTCAGTCTCTCTTAAAGTGACTCTACTGGCAAAGGAAGGGAACCTGCTACGCTCTCCATACTGATAGTCTAAAAGATGTCAAAAAACCACTGGAGGCGATTTCAATGCCTTCTCACCATGTGACATAGAGCAGGTTCTCCCCGCGTGCCTTGATTTTTCCATCTGCTCCCTGTGGTGACAGCTGAGGACGTCTGTGCGAGGGCTCTGGGGCCTGCTGCAGGACAGCATGCGCTTGCTCAGCCTGGATTCCTGCCGCGCCATGTCCGCAGCACGGGAGCTGCCGGTTCACCGCCCTTCCCTGACCCTGCTCCCTCCCCAGGGCTTGTGACAGTGGGCTGAGAATGTTTCCACTGCAGCGTTACTGACAGTGCTTCACCTTTGGGTGGACGCTGGTGCATCAGAAGTGCGTTCTCTGCTCTCCAGCATGACTTCTGGGTCACGCAGCCGCAAGCAGCACCATGGCAGAGCGGAGTTGGGCTGGCATTTAGGGAAATGTTCCTGGGCCCTGAGGAATTCTGTGTGATCATCATTATCTGGCAGCCGTGAGGACATAGGTAGGAAGGCAAAGTATCACAAGTAAACAGTTTCATGAATGAGTGCACCGTGTTATGGCTTGTTATTTCCTCTCCGCACTATCCCTAAGTATCTAGGGCACAGCTGTCACCAAGCAGCCTACATGTTTGTGGGTTTTCAGCATTTCCAGTTTTTGACTGGGGTGGGAGGGGGCTTGGTTGTTGAGCAGGACTGAAAGTGGCTGGCCAAGCTGCAAGTGTATGGACGTACCGGTTCCACAAAGCCTGAGGCTGGTGCTAAGGGCACTCAGACTTGTGCCCCAGGGCTTGTTTTGTTCCTTCATTCCCCTCCCTGCAAGTCTGGCTGTGGCTGCAGGGAACCAGACTGGGGAGCTGGCCAGGGTTAAAGCTGTCCAGCTGAAAAATGAGATGCAGGTCTGTACACGGCTGTGGTTCCTGATCTGGTTTAGGACTGTTCCTCCAGCCGTGCCCGAGCTAGAACGAGAGGCAACAGCCCTGGTTCTGGGGACAACAGGAGCTGATGCCTGGCCTGCATGAGGCCGCAGTCCCCCACAGCCGCTTGCTGCCCGTGCTGCGTACCGGGGGAAGATGGGGGGAGACCTTTACCTCCATGGTGGCGGCTTCCAGGGGCATGTGCTGTTAAAAGACTGTCAGGCTCCTCCTTAAGCCTCTCCCTTATACCACACACACACAAGCTGGAGTTTTTCCCAGAGTTGTAGGCTCTCACAGAGCAGCTTCACTTGCCAACACAAATTGGGTGAAACTATGAGCTTTATGCAACTTATCTACCACCAGCAAAGGCACAGACCCACCAGGGGAGCCTGGTGTCCGCCAGATACCCGATGACAGCTACTTACTCAGAGTCCCTTCAGTAAGCCTTCCCCTGCAGGTGCAAGCAGGGATGTTTGTTAATGAAGAGCAAAAGCAATGCCCAACCTAAAAATCAGATCAACATTGCTATAGGGTGGCAGTCCCAACCAGACCCCAGCAACCGCATCTCAACGTGAGCTACTGTGATTGGCATAACAAGGGCTGTTCAGAAGGGGCCAAACGAGTTTTTTCACATGACAGGGACAAGAATTTTGAGAGATTTTTGCTTGCGACTCCTAAGGTGAGGGTGGGATGTGTGTGTGTGGGGGGGTGTCCCTGTCGCCCTTCAAACTGCCAGCATGGCTGCAGTTCTGCAGGTTCTGCCCTAAATCCTAGAGGTTTTTCCCTTCCCTGTACCTCACAGCAGGCTGCAGCATCACAGAAATCTCAGCATTGGTGCTTTGTCTGTGCTGGGGCTCACACACAGGTAAGTTTTGAACTGGTCTCAAAAGCAACTGGGAGGACAAACAAAAAACATTGTTCTCCAAGCTGGATGTTATAGACGGGTATTAGGTTGGAAGGGGTCTCTGGAGGTCTTTTGTCCCAACATCTGCTCAAAGAAAATGTGTTAGATCAGGTCACGCAGGAGCTTGTCCAGTGGATATTTGAATGTCTCCAAGGACAGAGATCCCACAGCTTCTCTGGGCCCCTGTTCCAGTGTTTGACCACCCTCATGGTGAACATTTTTCCATACAGCTAATGAGAACTTCCTGTTTTCCAGCTTGTGCCTGTTGCCTCTCATCCTGTTGGACAAAAGTCTGGCTCTGTCTTCTCCACACCCTCCCACTAGGTAGGTGTACACAACAGTAAGACCCCTCCTTTACCTCCCCTGCTCCAGGCTGATCAAACGCAGCTCTCACCCTTTCAGTCCGCCCTGCTGCCATCCAGTCTTCTGACTATTCCCCCGCACCAGCCAAGCGACGGCCTCTACTGGGGGCCAGGGGTGATGGGAGCAGCACAGCAGGTCAGAGCCACGAGCCTTTGCCATTTGTCCACCTTTAATTGAGCCTGGATCCGTTCACAAGGGAGAAAGTGGCCTTCAACATCCAAAACCAACCTCAGTTCTGACTGGGAGACCCATCCCAGTCTGTCCCACAAGTAAAATTACACTTTGCCCTGTTCATTGTGATAAAGTACATTTATTGTTAAAAACTTTCAAGCTGCTATGCCTGCCCTAGCTGCTGCGGTGACCTAGCTGGAGACTGTCATAAGAGCGCAGCTCCAGTCCTGGTCACTGGCACACACGCAAGACCCATCAGCTGCAAGAAGACTGTCCCTTTTCTGCCATCTTTGTCTCCATTTTCTTGTCTACAACGCTCACAAATTTGTTTCCTCGTAAATAAAACCTGAGAGGTTTCTGTGCCCACTCTCCCCTGTTGCCAATACCAATCCTTGTTGTGGCTACCACGTCCTGCTCCCCTGGTAGGTCATGTCCAGGTATCATCCAGATGGCTGCATCTTGAGTCAGGTCCCTCTGGTCAAAAGCTTTATTGATCCCAAATGCTTGGCAGAGCTTGGAGGGCCCATTACACAGCTGCCAGTCCTTCAGCAGCTTTGCGGGTCCTTTCCTTGAAGCGCTGCGCAGCTCTCTCATTGCATCTAAACCCTGAAGAGGTTCCAAAGAGCGAAGTAAGACTGCAGCCCCTTCCCCTGTGCAGAACGAGAACCACGTGTTAGTACAGGGCTGTTCATCAAGAACATCTCAGCTTTCAGCCCCACCGCTAGCAGGACCACTTCAGCTCGGAGCCTGACAGAGCAGGGCATTGCCTGCAGGGTCTGTCCTTCTCTCAGGCCTCTTCGCTTCAAGTGCCAGGCTCTGGAGTCAGCCACTCACCCCTCTTCCGAAGGTCCAGTGTCCCATAGCTCTGTGCGCTTTATTCATCAGTGCTGACTTGCTCTTCCCCAACCCCACTTCTTGATGTTACTAAATCTAGCTGCTGCTCCAAGGCTTGCCAGAGGGCAAAAGGTTTTTTTTTGTGTCAGCACAATGTTCAGGAATAAATACACATACGGTTCAGTTTTGGCATAGCTATCCAAAGCTGCTCCCAAACCCAGTGGATTTATAATCGACTCTGATTATAAGAACTGCAGCTAACAAAGGAGAAGAGGAATGAGTCTGGATGCTGCCAGCAGAAAGAGCCGGCAGAGTGAGGCTGGACAAAGAGAAACCCGGGAAGGAGCTGCAGGCACTGGGAGCAGCTGCTGCTGAGGGAGCCCTGGCTGCAGGTGCTACCAACTCAAGCACCCAACTGGAGGTGTAACAGCGGGTGGGACCACCCTGGTTTTGGGTAACTGCGTAGCTACAACGGAGAGCAATCCAAACCCTTGTGCCAGGGAAGCTCTCGCAAGAGGCTGCACGATGCACGGCCCTGAGTGCATCACTGCAGCAAAGACCCTTCTATGACAAGAAGTAAAGAAAACTGGCAGATTCTTTTCTCAAATGTGATCTGCCACCCTGTCAGGAGCCTTAGGAGACTCCAGGCCCCCACAACCATTGTGACCAGCTGCCCTCCCCAATTTCGGTGACAGTGAAGCAAAGATGCAGCTCTGAGCACAGACATTCCCCTGTGATGAGGATCTCCTGCCTAAGTGGGAAATAAACAGTTCCTTGGTATTTTCCAGTGGACAGCAAGGAAGGTCTTCTCATGACCTTGAGTGGGTGAGGAGACCGCCCGGTCAAGCGGTCTGTGTGCTGCCCCACACAGCACCCCTTGTTCCTCCCTGCCAGCATCTGCACGCTCGGTGATGCCGCTCCGCAAGAATCCCCTCTCCCTCTCCAGCCTCAAACATCTGGAGCCACGCTCCCGCTTGGCAAAGGCTTTTTTTGTAGGCACCGACAGATCCCTAAGGACCTGCGATTTTCCAAAAGTAGAATCCCACTCATACTTTACACAAATACCACACTAAATTACCCTCCTGGGCTCCCAACTGAGCCTATCAACCGAGGGCCCGATTTCAGGCTTTTGTGAGGTGTGCCTCTTGCCCTGAACCTGCTCAGGGCCCCCTCGGTACAGCTCGGCGAAGTCAACAGCCGCATTTCCAACAGCTGTCTGCAATCTGTTCCCAGGCACTCCCTTCTCCGAGGAAGGGGATTGATGCTAATCTGGCAGCCAAAAGCTCCTTCCCTGTACTACGCTGATTTAGACCTCAGAGGTCATTTTAGATTTTTAAGAACATGCTCCGTGGCCTAACTCCACTTCTCATCCATGCACAAAGAAACATCCTTTGCATCAAGCCACTGCCTCGCTTGCCTGGAACAACTGTGGGATTCTGAGCAGTCGCTAATTACACTACTTGCCTTCATCTATGACAAATGCAAGTGGAAACCGTGGTTACACATGAACAGAGTCTTTGGGAGTTCACGGAAAGAGAGACAAGCACTCGGAGAAAGTGCAGGTGCTCCCAGAGCATCGGCAGAGCCATGCCAGGGGATACCTGGCATTTCTGTCTGGCTGCTCTTTCTGAATTTCTACAAAAAAATTTTCACGCTCTTTCTAGCTGTGTGTGACACAAACCCCGCTCCCTGCTCTGAGCCAGCAGCCCCTGAATGTGAGAGCAACACCACAAGAGCTTTGGGGAGAGGTGGGCACAGTAGGCAGAATAAGAATGCAGGGATGCCATCACGAGCTACTGCCTTCTCTGCCCCCATCTGTCCCCACACCTCTGGGTTGATGTTCGGGTCCTCCTGAGCATACTTGCATATCTGAAGTTTTATTTTAACTACCAAAGAGTAGCTGGATCCTTCCAGCTCACCTCCTGCCTGCCAGAGTGCTTCAGCCTGCCTTCCTCCCTCTCCGCAGCCTGCAGCAGTTCGCTCGCAGGGGTCATCCAGCTTCAGCATCTGCCTGACATGGGTACGGCTGCTGACAAGCCACCAGCAGCAGTGCCAGTCCAGAGATGCTGAATATCTACCTCCTATGCCTAAGAGTCACCCCGTATAACGAGCAGCATTCAGAGCTAAAAGCTGAGATCTAACAACAATGCAGAGGCCAATTCTCTCCCTGAACAGCTAGAAATCATAAAATGATAGGGAAGTCCCACACCCCCACTGTGCAGCTTGCTGCTTCTTCCCTGGAACGGCTCCAGCTCTCATTCTTGGAAACGGCTCTTGGCCACTGGAGAGAAGAAAATTTTCTCCTCTCTCCACCCGTCTGACTCACTGCTCCCGAAACACTTCCTTCAAAGTCCTAGTTTAGGATCCAAAAGTTAGGAGGAAGTCTGCGCCGTGTCACCTGGGCTTGGGTATAGCATCACTGGGATCTCGATTTTACAACCTGTTCTTTCAGATCTGGCAGCGATACACACACCTTGGCAAATTCCAGAGAAATGAATCACAGCTAAGTCCAAGAGAAGCTTGACTGGCATTTACTTTCTTCCTCAAGTGAGGGAAGCCCAACACCTTAACCCTAGGGAAGGCTCTTTGTACTAAGTCTATTGTGCTGCTGCCAGCGTATACTGTAGGATTCACGCACACTGGAAGACATTGGTTCTATTTTCCTATAAACTCTTCTTCCTCTATCATCCATGATTTCTCAGAAAAACAACCCACAATGTAGTGATGCCCCCTGTGGCTTCAGGCAGTAGCAGCATTTGACGCAGTGATGGGAAGACCTCTCACATTAAAATCCCACACGATGCAGCTTTATCTTGGTGACGCGCACAAAGATTTCCCCTTCCCCAGTGACAAAATATTTGAGGCCGCCCTTCAGCTCATTATGATTTTATGAACACAAAGATGCAGTCAAGTGAACTCGACTGAACGTGCCAACAGCCGCAACTCCTTGCCCCAGCGAAGTGGCAGAACTACAAACTACAGCTGAAGTGCTTCTGGGGTCTGTTGGCAGCATCAAGCTGAGCTGAGGACATACTGCTGAGGACACTACGGCGGTGGTGGCTCTCAAGTTAAAGTCTATGCTTTGGTAGCCTCTCTACCAAGCACCTCTCCCAGCACAGCTCTGCTGGTGACACACCTTTTCCTATCCCCGAGTGATACTGCTGAGCCTGAAGTCTAGCATAAGCCAAATAGAGAAAACAGAAGAGAAGGTTTATTCTACTTGGTATTAAAACAGACGATACTGCAAGGTTATGTACAAAGCAAAAGACTCTCAAAAGCCAGAGTCTCATGAGCCAAATACCCCGTTCTTGACAAGCTAAGCAGAGGGGAGCAAGTACAAGCAGCATATAAAGCTTTGCACATCTTGTATAGGCCTTGGATCCTGAGCTAATTAGGGACTAAGAAGGCCGCGGCATGATTCAAGTCAGCGTTAAAGTACCTTTAAACAGTAGTCTGCTGCAACAGTCCAATTCATTCTGCTTGCCTGGTCCCAACAGTGTGTGTCTGGGACACACCCGTGCAGTGTCTGTGCCAAGAAGGTAGCAAAACACAGGGACAGAACAGCACTCTGATCTCTCTCCAGTAAAAGGACAGCTGCTTTCGTCAGGCTAGAGGCTCCAAATCAGCTCTACGGTCACTCAGTTCAAGAGTCTGAGAAGCAGCAGGAGAGCAGTCACTGCCAGTACTTAAGAGGATGTACTGGTTCTCTGAACGGCTTGCCTTCCTCCCACAAGGATCCTGTAATTCAAGCAGCACAAGGACTTGCCTACACTACAAAACTAGATCGTTTAATCCAAGCCAGCTAAGAATTTGTTTGTGATTATTCGTTTGTGCTAACTTTAACAAACCACCTAAAACCACACTAGATCTCAGTTAAAACTATGTGCTTGTTCCAACAGTCTCCAGAAATAAACACTGTTGAAAATCAGCACATGAGTATTTTGATGCAAACCACCCAATGGCCAAACAGAAACATCTTTCAGAATAATTTAGAAAATCTCTAGAACTGTTTTCTCCTGAAATCAACCCTAATTCTCAATTCATTCAGTAGGAACTTTGCTAACATGCATCCAGGCAAAAATTGAAATGGCTTCAGATTGGGTAAATTTGTGTGTGTTTGAAGGCATCAAGGAACCCCGAAAAGACTTTTTCCCTTCTCTGCTGCTCCAATTTGCTGCAGCAATGCCATACAGTATTCCCAGATGTAAACCCAAACTACTCCTACAAAGTGAGTTGCTCTGCTGTCCTGAAAATGTGTGTGCATGTCTAGGCTTGTTCTGCTCCTCCCCTCCACCTACAGAAAGACAGAACAAAACTGGAAGAGATTCAGGGACAGGCAACCAGAATGATCAGAGTTATGGACTAGCTCTGGAGCAAGAGCCTAAGGAAGGAGCAACCAAGGAGACTAGAAACCTTCAGCTTGGAAGACAGCTGAGGAGGGGATATGAAAGATCCAGGGAGATCACAGGAGGCAGAAGATGATGTACAGGAATAGATGCAATCATCCCGTGTTCTCCTGGTGCTCTGCAGCACTGCCAAATCCCAAGAAGAGAGTGACGCAGCTCTGGGACATCACTGGCGATGCGACCTTTGAAAAAGGAAAAGCATTTAGTGTTCTCTCAGTATAAGTGACACCTTCAGAAATAGTATGTTCATATTACTTTTATAGTCTCCTGGTCAGTCACTCAGGTTTTCTCAGCATTGCCAGGGAGACCCTGAAGTCCTTGGATATTTTGCAGCCAATTCCCTGCACAAGGATGATGAAACTGATTACATCACAATTTCATGCTGTAAGCATGGTCTCTGCTGCTAGGGCACAACAGACATTCCTTTTGCCAGTGCTTCCTTCTGTTTTCTGCACAGCCACAGCCAAATTCAAAACAAAGTTTCCAAGATCTGTCCCATATCCAGAAAATTAAATGCTTTTGCCTTCTACCCAGGTGCCTAAGTGCCACCACAAAAGATTACTTCCTCAATCCTTCCCTTAGACTAAACGACAGGACAGGCTCCTTCTCCATGTTAAGATGGGAAACGTATCTCAGGTATGATTCCTCTTCAAATTCCTTCTTTCAGCACATCTGCACATCACAGAATCACAGAATCATTAAGGTCATTGAGGCTGTTTCCTCTCGTCCTATCGCTGGTTACTTGGGAGAAGAGACCAACATGCACCTTGCCACAACCCCCTTTCAGGTAGCTGTAGAGAGTGATGAGGTCTCCCAATGGACAAACATACCGAAGGAGTAAATCCTACTTATGTAGATGCATCTGTGATGCAGAGCATGCAGAGCCATGCTACTAACTTCAGTATGTTCCTGCCAAAGCTGCTGGTGGCAGCTGTGCTTGGTGACAGCATAGCTGCATGCACGACAGGCTAACGGAGAGTAAGTGTGTAACAGAAAATCCAACACAATCCATCACAACAGTGAGCTCTTTAACTGATTTGCCACAAAACTGAACACAGGTATATAAGGGAAAATTTCCCAAAGTGTAAATGTCAAAAGAAATCTTTCTAGAATTCAAAGGCTAAGAATTTTTTTTTTAAATAAAAATTATTATTCCTACTATTTCAAACACTAAGAATCCCACCCTGAATAAAGAGCCATTCTGCTTTCATTATCTAAACAGATTTGGCAGAGACAACGTAATGAAATTCACATGTGTTCATCCACCAGACTCCAGACCTCTGTTTAGAAAGACATGCTCTTCCCCCACAGTATAACCTGGCACTGTTTCTCTGCTTGGCTCCTGCCCAAAGGCCAAAATCTGAGGATTAATGGTCACTGTTACAACATTTGCTTTCCACTTAGGAATATACAAGCGGCAGGGTTTTTTTAAGCTCTATCTTTGAAATGGTGAAAAAGAAATTTTTTTTGAGAATTTTTTTCTAACGAGTATCTAAGAAATACCTGCTGCCATTTCAAAGTGTCTAATTAACCAATAGTTTTACTGCAAGGCAAACACTGTCATTCTTACATGAAAGAAAAAACCCCAAGTTTTAGAAGCTTGCATGTTAAGAGGAGCTGTGGAAGAAGAGTCTCAGTAAATTCCAGAATCATTTGATTAGGGGTTGATTATATTATCTTGAGAATAATAAAAGAAGATAGAAGATTCTGTAACAGTCGGGGTATTTTGATTCGGGGTGGTTTTTTGTTTTAAGATAACAGCAAAGCACCTACAATGTTCCTGCAGTGACTCCTTAAGCTTAAGACATCTCAGACCTTTTTGTTTTTCCCAACGTTTACAGCTTCTGAAGATAAAAGTGGGGGACAGAAGAGTTTATTGTCATGACAACAGACACGAAGATTTAGGCTGTCATTAGACTGCAAATTTACTTCTACATCACTGCTTTTGAGGAACAAAGTTCACTGAATCACATGAATACGCAGCAGCCCAGGTCATCAAAATGGAAATCTCCATCCTATCAAGATTCTCCTCCAGTCCTTAGTCTTTATTTCTGTGCCTGAACAGCTCATACAGCTCACAGCTGGGACCAAACCCCGCCGGGCTGGTCACTGCGCAGCTGGAGATGGGCCCTGCTTGTAACGTTGAAAGTTAATACGCCGTCTGGCCACAGTTAACATACTGTTCACAACGGCAAAACCCAGGTCCCAAGGGAAGATTGTGACAGCAAGCCACTGACTTCACAGAGCCCACGGGGAGCTCACAAGCGACTGCAACATGGCGAGCGTAGCTTGAAATATCAGCCCCATGCTGTAGGCATTAAAACTCTTTCAGCCTCAACTTACCTTGGCTGGAAACATTCATGCAGAAGTGAATCCCATAGATCTGATACACGTACAGAGTTCCTGGTTTCATGAACATTGCCGCGTTTCGTTGAGTTTGCTTCCCACCTTTGGAGTGGGAAGCTTCATCTTCCCCACCCAGATAAGCTTCTGTTTCAACAATCCTCCCCCAGAGTTCTCTACCATCAGGAAGTTTGCGAACTAAAATCTGAAAGAGAGGTCGGAGTGCATCAGTTAGCAACCCTCTGTACAAAATAACCAGAGCGCAAGAGCTGTGGAAAAAAAGAGGTTGGAAAGAAGGACCTGTACTACATACTCTCCTCTCCATCTAGCAGGCCAGTCTGTAAGCTAACATGAGCTTTTTCAGCTTCTACTGTCCAGGCCACAGCCCAGAGCAAGAAGTTCCTACCTGTCATTCACGCCACCAAATTCCCGGAGTGCCTAGATGTGGCAGTATCACAAAGAACCAATTTATAGTCCTTGTATACAATAAAGCCCAGAGAGTTGCTTTTGTGATTATTTTTCCATATTCTCCACCCCAATCCACCAGGTTTAAGGCAAAAAGCACCACCAATGAAACATCATGAATGTATATTCTTCAGAAGAAATACAACAGTGGCACAGTTAAATAACTACTATGATTAGATAGTCTCTCTCCACAGAGATGTTTCAAAGAAGTCCTAGTCTCTAACCGTAGAGACAGTCATGACCAGAGTGAGTCTCAATGCTATTTCTGTACCACAGACAGGGGCAGTGCAGGAGAGCTGGGAATTGGCTTCAGGTAGACAACAACAGATCTTTGTTATTACAGTGTGTTCCCCGCTGCTGGTACCTCCTTAAATAAAACAAAGCAGATGCAGGGGGAAAAGAAAAACATGACAGTGAAAAGATTATCTTTAAAAAGAAAGCAGTCACTAAACTTCATACAAAGTTTTTTGTGGTTTGACCTGATTTCTAAACTTCTTATCTTACTTAATGTGTGTTTAAGAAATGCTGCAGTATAGTCTCATTTAGGCAACAGCTATCAGTTTAATTATACTATGTTCAGTGCTTCCATATTTGAAAACCAGCCATTCAAAAAATGACCATTAAGAAACAAAGCTTAATTCCTAACAGATGTTTGTGCTGGATTGCTAATGCAGTTACTGACCTGATCCAGTACAGATGCTCCAGAAGCCACTGCAACTCAAATGTTGCAACTTACAGAACTTCTCAAATTGTTGAAAACAATCAGTTTATTATTTTTATGAAAAACGCAGTGACTTCAGAAAAGCACTGGTGTTTAGCAACTGCCTGTAAACACCCCAAAAGCACACCCATGTGGCCACATTTCTCTTTCAGTATGATGAAATGCAATAGTTAGGTTATGATTTTGAAAGCATGCAGGCATTTCCCTGACTCTTCAGACACAATAACTATTCACAGTTAAACAGTTTAAAAATGGTGATAATTCACAATACCTCACAGTAAACTATTTTACAGAGGCTTTTATTTCTCACTGAGGATGTATCTTGGTGTTATGACAGTTCATTTTGGGAGGCCATTTATTGTGTGTATGTTTTGGGGTACTTTTTGTTTCTAAGAACTCAAGTATCATGCTTCAGGTGAGCAGTGTTAATACACTAGGCACCTCCAAAATTTGGTAGAATGAAGATAATGAATGATACATTAAATTACCATTATAGTTATAATTCTAAGAAAATGAGAGAATTGACTGGGTCATGGGAGACTAGGGGTTATACTGTAAAGAAAATCTAAAATTAACCTAGAAATCACCTGGCTTGTAATTCTAGGCCTAAATAGTAAAAGTACAGAATTAGGACTAAAATATCATCTGCCTGGGGTAACTGAATGCATAAGGATGCTGGAGTTATTAAGACAGAAAATGCATCAGTACTGGGAGACTTCAGGTATCCTCATGTAGACCAAGTAAATATCACAGTAGGACAGGACACAGGGTATGTGTTGTTTTAAGACACCACCAAATGCTTTGCACAGGGTTCTCACAAGAAAAGACTAAACTCTCAAACTGATCCAGAGCAAAATGCAAAGTCTTTTCCAAAGACTTATCACTGAAAAACAACTTTGTATCATGACCATTAAGTATAAAGTTCAGCGTCCTTCCACAAGCATTAAGGTCCAAAAATAATCTCTTGGATTTCTGCTTACCAGCAAAAAGGGGAAACTACATAAAGTGAGGAAACTTGTTAGGAAGAACGTAAAAGAGGCAGCCAAAGGTTAAAGCTGGAAAGGCAAGCCTCTAGCAGGGTGTCTACAAAGATAGCAAACATACATGAGGTATCAGAGAGAGGTTAAGGCAGACCAAAAAAAACCCAGAAGGGTTAGAAAGCAGAGAAAAGGCGTCAATTACAAGCCAGACAATATCCTTAGAAAAGAAAAAGAAAGCTAGACACAGAAAGAAAGGCCAAAGCCAACAGTTTGTGGAACAAATTCCTCAAGTTATCTAAACCAATGAGAACCCAGAGAGTCTGTTCACCCTACAGACAATAAAGGTATAAAAAAAGACTCAGAGAAGATAAAGACCATAGCAGTGAAACTAAAGACACATTTTGCAATTGCGTTTAGGAGGTCCCAGACTGGAACTTTTTATAGGGAAAACACTGGAGGAACTCCCTCCCATGGAAATGGCGGGAGAGTTTTTTTGAAGGACTCACTAAGAAGAGACAAGTTTAATCTCCCCTACTCTGATTTCCAAAGGCTTTCAACAAGGTCCAAAGATTCCTCAAAGTTTCTGCAATGGGATAAGGGAGAAGGTCCTTTCATGAAAAAGCAATGGTTTTAAAACAACTCAGAAACAAAAGATAGGAGTTTCCACAGTGAAGAGTTTAACCACGGGACTGTGGAATCCTAAATGTCTCCACACTAGGGCCTATGCTGCCTTGCATATTTGTGTTAATAACCTCAGAAAGGGGATCAGGGGAGAGCTCACCAGGTGTACCGAGAATAACGAGTTACTCAGAACAGCAAATAGAAAAGCAGGTAGTATGAGATACAAGTTTCAAAGCATGCCCTGTATGGGCAGCGTAAAAGAAAGTACCAAACAGTCTGCTGAACTTGCAGCTAAGAATGAAACATTCGAGTACACTACGAGAGTGGATCCTGGTCAAGAAAGGCCAAGGGCCTGCCATGCTATTAGCATCACAAGATAGTAAAATGGAGGCAGAGGAGGAGATGTTGCTGACTGCAGAGCCTTACTTTCTTACTTTCCACTGGGCTAAGCAAGAGCCAAAAACAAATAAAGGAATACCTGAAAGGAAAATAATGAGCCTGAAACAACCTTCAAACCACGAACAATAAAGTACGTTTCAGTAAACCAGAAAAAAGGGAGAAAAACTCCACAAAAAAACTAATCTGAAATGTGACAGTAAACTAAACCTGAAAAATTACTCCTCTGACTTCATCCAAAATAGACTTGGCTACTAGTCTTTAAATTCCACTGAACTTAACAAGAGAAGGAATGAGAGCTGTATTCCTAAAATAGCAAAGCCCTGGAGTCAAATGGCAAAAAAAGACTTTCATCCTTTTACACTAAGTTATTAGCTAGCACATGCTCCAGTACAGTAATCTCAGCGTTCACATCTTACCTGTCCCAGAAAGGACTTGGCCAGACTAATACAGGGCTGGTTGAAAAAATCTGCTTCTAGCTGGGAAGAATTTTTTTTCTCTGTCGCAAAATATTTGCTGCTTTTTGGAGAAGAATCCCCATCAGGCGTAGCATTCAGGTTCTCCAAGGCATCAAAAGGAGGGAAGCTGGAGTTGCTTTGGAGAGCACTTAATTGAGCCAACAGCTTTCTTTTTCTTGGCATAGTTCTAGAAAATTGATATAAACATAATTAGGAATATAAAGCTTATTTAAAAGTTACTCATTTCCACAAACTCTTATTTTTTTTTTTTTTTTTACACATCTCTCCACAACAATGAATCTGAAAGCTATAACTAATTGGACAACCTAGGCAAACTACGGAAGCAGGTGACAGATTTAGCTGTGTCTACATCACGCCAGGCAAATACTGCAGTTTGAGTATTCATCTTTTAAGGACTGCAGATAAAAAGCAACTCTGCTCCACTTAGCAGTAAAAATAAGTTTGCTGTTAGGTTAGGAAATTCAGAAATTGCAAACAAGATGAATCGGCACTATATACTTTTTACCTAGAACTAATGTTATCTGTTAAGCAGACAGAAAAAAAAAAAAAGGAAACAACCACCTCAGAAAATTGTGCTGACTCAGAAAGTCTACAGAAGGGATGTATCAATCATTTTAAATGGTAACGTAATCAGATCAGAATCTAAAACTCCACAGGACACAGAACATTGCAGTTTGGAGATGCCCTATTTACAGTCATAGTGACAAACTCGTTTATCACACTGTGGAAATGTTTGTTTTAGAACCTGCACAAAATAAACTGTAAATTCACTTACCAGAAAGATGCACAGTATGTATTTGAGGCAACTATGTAACCTGAGATTGTTCTTCTAGGTTTGTCACCAATTCACTTTTGTGCTTTTTTTTTTTAGCTTCCAAAGCTAAAAAAAAAAAAAAAAAAGTTTTTTTTAGCTTCAAAAAGTTAATGTTTCTTTTTCTGTGGCACCGTCTTTATACCTGTTGAACAGGAACAAGCTTATTTATTCACTGTATAAAGCACTTTGAAACAAGCTAAGAGATTTTGGAGCTGGAGATCGTGATACCAACAGTGCATCATTAGCTCAAACCTGGGAACAATTTGCAGTTTTCTGTTGGTCTAGCAAAAGACCATCTCCCAGCTGGGGCATTGTTGAAGATGCTCTTTAGCCTTTTTTATACAAAAGACTATGAAAATGGTGGGGAATGTACTTTTCCTACACCGAATACACAAAAAAGCTGAAACCAAACTTTTTAAATTCCCCCGTTGGCAATAAATTTGGAAAGCGTCAGCCTCAAAAAAGGACTCTTACATGAGAATGCAAAGACACCAGGTTTTAGAACGCGCCTCATCAGTTCTGAAATTCAACCACATGTAGAGAGAAGGGAAAAAAGCAAATGTTCAACATCATACATAATTAGAAATCCTATATACAGCTGAACCTGCAAGGGAAGTATATACTTAAGTAGCTGTTGCCACTCATTTTTCACCAGATCATCGGCTTTTAAAAACGGCTGCAAAAACCTTCACCATCAAAACCAATCTTTATCTCGCTCTGATGTTTCTCACAAAGATCCATCAGCAAGAGTTTCCTTGAACTACACTGACACAAATTCAGCATTGCTACACTCTGGATCACCAGTGCCAATTCCACAGCAGTGTTACATTTCACTTCAGAAGAATCCAGACACAAACATATACAAATAGGCAGCAAAAAAAAAAAAAAATCACATCGGCATGACTAGCAGGGAGGTGGGATTTTTTTTTAAACATCTAATTCTTTATTGCAATAATACAGGGATGTCAGAGACTTGCCATAGAATGGCCAAGTTCCACACCAGGTATTCTGCTCTAAACTGTGGCTTTCACCTGGTGGGCATTATTAAAAATTTTGTCAGAAGTCACCAGCCTGCCTCAGACAAAATTGCCTGGTGGCCTTTGCAAATGAGTGTCCTGTTTAGGAGAAAGGGTGCGAATAGGAAAAAGGGTTGCAGGAAGGAAGGGACGGAGGAGGAACACTTCCCCGTATCGGACTGACCCTCTAAAAGATATGGGGAACACTTCCCACTGAAGACAGTACCTCCAGCCTTCTCTGACAGTATTAACTGGAACTTCCAGTTCATCAGCCATACATAAAGACATGCTGAAAACATGGCAACTTTGAGTGGAGCATTAACTCGTTTGATAATTTGTGCTCTTATGGAATGCGACATCAGAAACGGGATCTGAGTTGCCTGGCACTTACTGCCCCTCCAATCAAGTAATTCTTAAAAGCTGCAAGTGCTCTCATGTAAATGTTATACTGGCAGCCTTAGGGCACTTGTAATTTCATGGCTATGGGCTGATCCTAGGCAGATCTCAGCACTTTCAACTCTCCTTAGAAACAGCAGTAGGATACTGCCTTATAATCATAAGAAATGGGTCACAGAAAAAAATATGAGTGCTTTAAAGGCACAAATGCAGCATGAGGGGACTACAGTACCATCTCAGAAATCCAGAAAAAAACCCAGCTACCTTTTGTCTCTGTGCTTGTGCATACCAAGATGTGAAACATAAAACTCTGTACCTCAAAGCCTTTCTACACTTTCTATAAAGGACGTTGCTTGTATATACAAATCCCTTCTTGCCTATGAAAAAGCACACTGTAGAAGACGGTACATATCAAGTACCCAAGCCCTATGTACTTGCGAAGTAAGAGACACCATTTCTTCATGTATTAGTGTACAGACAAATTCTGCACCTCTTCATTTCTATCTAGATTTTCTTGCTCGTAAACAAATTTCACTTCTTTGCTGCAAATAAGAATCAGCTGTGGGTTTAATCACTTTTAACTAATCCTGTTGTAACCAAACTAGCTACAAGTTGTTAAGCACATCTGTATACACATGCACAAAAAAAGTACGAAAGTCAGAAAACAAAGGTCAAGAGCTGAGTAAGTCTGCACAATAGTCTCAGGAAAGTGTTTAGGGACCCTGCAAGCCAGAATCAGAAAGACACTGAAAATCTGTAAAATACAGCTCAGCGGCTGATACACCCTATAGTCAAGGCACAACTGAGCCTATACAGACTTCTTTAATCCTTCTAGTAAGACAGCATTTGTAGGTATTTCCTTATGTATTTAATGAGCTTTCACTAAAAGGAGGTAAAGAAAAAAATCCCACCAGTAATTTGCATGTACGTTTGGGTCACAGGTCCAGATACCTGCAGCTGCAAAGTCTTCCTCACGCACATATATCTTTCTGATAGCATGATGCAGAAGCGTACATAAGAATGCATTGCCACTTCTGGAGAGACAATTCCTCAAACCAATTCCCAGCTGTACAAATTTTATGTGGGAATATATGCTGGGTCAGACCAACGGACACCTCTCCCTGTATCCCGCTCTCCAGGGCAAAAGCAGGAGCCTAGGGAAGAACAGAATAAGCACGCAGTGCTTCCCCACACATCCTCCATGTTCATTCTGAACCAGGCACAGTTTCTGTGTACTTGGTAGCCGTGAGCTTATGCAGTCTTCCCTGAGCCTGTGTAAAACTATCCAAACTGAGACTTTACTGATGAAGAAAGCTTCAGAGAATTAGTCATTATGACTCCAAAAACTCACTTATTGTGTGTGTGAAATTAGGACTGCTCCCCACCCACATGAATCAGTTTACATTTGCAATTCATCCCCATCAGCCCTCTTCTTTACCACCTCAAATAATCTAAAACCAGCTGGAAACATTGTTTTTCCAGGTCATTTGCAAAACATCCCTGCAGCACTCCAGTGGTGACCTCCAGCCACCATAAGGGCTGCCCATTTACTCACATCCTCTTTCCTATCTTTGCACCAACTGTTTATTTATGACAGGGAACTCCCTTATTATGTCAGGGGCTGCTCAGGTGAGGGCTCCTGTTTAAAAGCTTCCTGAAATCTGAGTACAGACTGTAAGCCAGACCTCTCAACGTGCTTATTTAGACCTTCAGAGAATTCAACATTTTTTTAAGGCGTGACTTTCCATTACAAAAGCCACACTGGCTCTTCCCCACTGTATAACATTTATGCAGGTGTCCAGTAATTCTACCTTGCTGTATTTTCTACTAATTCAGTTGGTAGTGGTCAAACTTTCTGGTCTGCAGCCCACAGATTTCCCCTAGAACCTTCTTTAAAAGATTTTATTCACCTTACTGAATGCTGGGGATGTAATTTCCTGCAAGATGTCCTTGCAATTCTGGTGCTCGCTCTTACTGCCTACTGGACATCTTGAGCTTTTCGAAATGAAACTTACTCAGCCTTCTGTAAAGAACAAGGAAGATAAAAATGAGGGAGAGTGATGAAAAGTCATGAAAAAAGCCTTCCCAGCAAAATTATGCTCCATTTTGGTTGACTCTCTTAAACCATTTTGTTTTGTTCTGTTCCCCCCCGCCCAACATTCTAGCTGCTATTTTTAACTGAGTGCCAAACTTGCATATTAAATGAAAGCAAACAAGTTAAATGTAATACTGACAATGGATGTTAGCTAGCTCAGCCTTCTGAGATTCGAGTTAACCAAGCCAGCATTTAGTTAAGCAAGGCAGCATTTGGAGAGGCTACAAATACTGATCAGGAAATGGAAATAAGAATTCAAAATCATCTGCAGTTCAGGTTTTTTCTTTATGTAGTAAATGTACATTGGTTATATTGGGCTAATAATCCAAAAGGTGTAAGTTTTATTTTTTTCCACCTGTATGACGGCAGCGAGAACACTCCTGATTTGTAAAGCACATTGAAAGACCTATATAAGGGGATACAGAACTAGTTACACTGAAGGCTAAAGCACCCATCTTATAAAACAACCCTAGAAAACACTCCTTCCTCAATCTTAATATTGCATGAGAAACAATTTAGTTCAGGCATAGGGGTTCGACTCAATGACCAAAGATGCTTCACCAAAGCCTTCATTAATGCACTAACAAAATGGAAAACTTATGACACAAATGCTCAAACATCTGAGCAATATCCACAAGGAGAGTTCCACTTAAGAGTTGCTCTAGAAGTACCAGTAACTTAAAGACTAAGAAGAAAAGCATAAGTAGCAAAGACACAAAGATTTACCTGCAAAAGAATCCTCAAGTTGCTCCCTGCATGGGCATGGAAGCAGAGGGTTCTCATACCTCCTCCCAGGAAGTCAGCCCGCTAGGCTCAGAGAAAGGACCGGCTCCACATCCAG